GGTGGCGGAGAATACAAAAACAAACAGGTTACCGGCAGAATGTACAGGGAAGGAAAATAGGAGCAGAGGTAGTCTTTGCACATTAGATGGCAGCTCCCAAGGGGGTTTCTGTGATCCAACCTGTCACACCCTCCTTCTTCCTATTCCTCACCCCAGTCTTCTGCTCCCACTTCCTAATCTCTCCTCCCACCCCAAGGCTCCTATTTACTCAGCATTTCTTGTCCATTTGCTCAGCATTTCTTTGCTCTACCCCATCTACCGTTCCTCAGTCCTCTGCATTCAAGTCAGACAGCTTTTTCCTTCTCCTCCATTCTGTCCCCGGGCAGCTGGCAAAACAGAGTGCCCAGGAGCGACACTCCCTCTAGCACAACAGCAGCCTGCAGCAGCTAGGAAGCAGCAATTTCAGGGAAAGGGCTGCACAGCTCTTTGAGCCCTGGGATGAAGCATGCTCAGATGCTCTGGGAGGATGGTGTATGTGTGCTCCAGTTGGCATGTAGGAACTGTGAGGTACTGGGGCATACTCAGGGTAGACAGAATCTTTGGAGAACTTAGCTACCAAACTCTAACAAGGCTCTCCAGAGCATGAGGTTTTTCAGAAGCTTATAATGAGGGAGAATTTTCACAAGAATGTCAAAAGGCATATGCATGACGCCAGAGTGACCGTCCTGCCAAATTTCACATCCCTACTCCAAAGCATGGAGGCATTCGAGTTTTTCACTGAAACTGTTTAAAAAAATAAAATAAAAAAAATTCAACATGGACAAATCAGTGCATTTTCCCTTCTTAACAGTCTCAGAAATGGCTCAACTCCAATAGCTGAACCTTTCCTAAAAAATATCAGCATGAGGTAGCCTACTACTACGGAAAAATTTAGGCTGAACAATTTAAGATGGGCAAAGTCATAAGCAACCGAAACCAAAGTCTTATAAGGAGAAATGGGGGAAAGGGGTGACCTAATAGTGGGCAGCCTTAGTTGCACCGTGGCCCCACTTCAATGAGGTAGAAGAGCTTGTTTTGGTGGCTTATCCAGATTGTGAAAAGACTGATCTAAATTGAAACTGCAGCAGGACCAGCCAATGCATCCAGGTGAACAAGGGCTCAAGGCGGGGCAACAGATGGGGATACAAGGTCCAGAAAAAATGACAGCTCCTGTGTTCCCTCTCTTCTCCCTTCCCAAGCCGCTCACAGTGCCAGCTGCTGCGGCTACCCACCGCCTGCCCCAGTGGGGCCCTGAGCACGCAGGGAGCCAGGCTGGCTGCCATCATCACCACGGGGGTCCCTGCAGGGGAAATCCTGGTCGGTGCCTGTTGCGCTGGAGCAGGGCCAGGGGGGTCCTAGCACCTGAGCCCAGGCCGAGCCAGGCATTTTCTTACTTTCAACGCTGTAAATTACCAAGAGACGGCGGCTCAGGCCATGTCCTGGCCCCACCTTTTGAGAGCGCCGCAGCTTAACTCGAGGCAGCACAAGCCGCTGCTCTGGTTCCTATCGCTCCGTAGGGCCGCTGGGGAAGAACCTGCGAGAGCAGTTTTAGTGCTCGGTGCTCCCGCGGAGGCGAGGCAGCCACACCAACGGCTCGTGCTCCCGCGCGGCCTACAGAAGCCGCAACCGCCACGCACTCAAGTACGTTCCGCGGAGCCGAGGGGCAGCAGTAACGGCCGCGCCCCCAACGGTCGGAGGGGCAGTCGCTCCTCCGCCCACCGCTCGGTTCAGCGCCCGTCCCCTGTCTCAGAGCGCTGGGGGCGGCCCTGCTGCAGCGGTGGCGGCGTGTCACGCGCAGGCCCCGCCCGGACTCGGTGCGTGCGGGGGGCGGAGCGCGTTGCTCTCCGGCAGCAGCAGGGGCCGGTCCTGCCCGGTTGGGGGCTCCCAGAGCTCAGTGTGCGCGCGGCGCCGTCCCTGTTGCCAGGTCTGTGCTGCGGATTAGCGGCGCTCTTGCCAGGAGGAGGTGGCGGCTGCGGACTTCGGCGCCGCTCAGAGGCAGCCGGGGGGAGCGGAGCAGCTGGGGTGCAGCAGGGTTGGTCCCGCAGCGCTGCCCCTCGCTCCTGTACTCGGCAATAACTAGTCGGGGGGAGGGGAGAGCCCGCTCCGCTCCCGGAAACTCTCGGCGTCTCTTGGGAAGGCGGCGGCGGCGCGGGGGAACTTCGGGGACTTGGGGGCGTCGCGTGAGGACACCAGCTGCCGCTTCCCAGACAGCTCGGCCGGAGGAAACTTTTCCCTGTGAGCCGGGGCAGGCAGCGGGCCCGGCGGAGCCAGCGAACGCCCCCAGAAGTTGAGCGAGCGCTGTCAGAGCCCCGGCCGGGTGAGCGCGCTGCGGGCTGGGAGCGGCGGGGCCCCGCTGCCCGCGGACATGAAGCTGAGCAGGCAGTTCACGGTGTTCGGCAGCGCGATCTTCTGCGTCGTGATCTTCTCCCTCTACCTGATGCTGGACAGGGGCCACTTCGACCATCCCAAAAGCCCCCGCCGGGAGGGCACCTTCCCCAAGGTGAGCGGAGCAGAGGGCACCGGGAGGGCGCTGCTGCCGGCGGAAGGGGGCGAGTTCCGGGTAACGATTTTAAACGGTGCGTGGGCGAGTTACTCGACTTTCCTTTTCCCCCAGTGCTGCTGGCTGGAGGTGGGACAGCCCCCTCCCCCTCCAACTGCCCGGGTACAGGTAAGGTCTAGCAGTTTCCTGCCAAGGTTCCTGGGCGCTGTTGGTGGGGCGTCCTCCTGCATTTGGGGTATTACCCCCGCCTTAGCGCCACCTGGGTGCTGGGACTGGCGGTCGGTCAGGTTAGGGGCAGCGTGCTCCGCGGGGGTGCGGGTTGGGCTGAGTTTCCGTATTTGTGGTGTTCATGCGGGAGGAAGGAAGAGATCGGTGCAATGGGAACTACCCACCCTAGTTTTACAAACGTGCATTTGAAACTGCAGTTGTGTCGCAGGACCAACAGCGTCTCTGTTGCTGCCCCTGCTGAGTGCATGCACACATCTGACATGTGGTTGACTTTGTCGGTTTATGGTGGTGTGGGTAGCAGGTAAATAAGGAGTCAACGGAACATATAAAACCCAGTCTTCTTTCCCAAGAGGCTTTCTGTATCAATGAAACTAAAGAAGTGGCCTGTAGTCCACGAAAGCTTATGCTCTAATAAATTTGTTAGTCTCTAAAGTGCCACAAGTACTCCTGTTCTTCTTTTTAATGAAACTAAAACAGTTTGTCAGTGGAGATGTTGTCCTGTCTGTTGTTAACTGTTGTGGCATTCCGTAGGAAAATGAACCTGATAAGTTTTGTTGTTATAGGGGTTAGTTTAGGTGCAAACCACTTGTTTGAGAGGAGGACATAATGCCATAGTGTCTTCTAAATGTTGTTTTTATTTGCAGCAGATATGTAACTGAGGTAATGTAAAACATCTGTCATACTTTGGAGATTAGCTGTATGGTGCTCAATTATGTGCTGTTCATCTTAACGGGGCAAACAAGACTTTTCTATGACCTGACAGCTTAACTCGTGTTCAGCGCAGTTAGTAAGCGGAACCAAAGATGTAAGGTTTATTCTTAAGTGCTAGTTCTCAGAATCCAGAAGTTCAAATAATTGTTAAAGACATGATTATTATTATGTGTTTATTTTATCCTTCAGTTCAGTTATCTGGATCAACAGGTAGGTCTATTCTAAAGAAAAATTGATCAGTATTGGTCATTTTTGCCCCTGTTTACTGACTATTATTCATAACCTCATTGCATGTTACATGAGGATTATAAAGTACAGAAAGGCATTTGTAGCCCTTCACTTTTTCTTGCTCTTTGTGTGGGAGAGAAATTTAAACGCTATTTGCATTGTGCTACATTGATCTAGGAGATATTTATCTAGAAAGGAAAAATGTGGCTTGCAGTTCAGTTTAAAAAAACTAAACCAACAAAAAGAATCCAAACTGGTACATGAGTGGTTGAGAAATTGTGTATTCCTGTTGCTTTAATGTGGAAAATTTAAATGTTACAACCAGTATAGAGTCCTGAAATACATCTTAATATTTCTTTTTGATATAACTAAAAGGAACAATGCTTTTCAAATAAGATGTTGTGTTTTGCAAACTGCCACTTAAAACAAAACAACCGCTTACCCTCACTCTTTTGTAAAACAGCAGAATACTGACAGCATATCTGTCTGTGGAAAGATAAATATCCCTGTTGCCTTTACAGTAATCTGTCAAGATAAAGTACAAAAGGTCAAGTAAAAGGCACAGCATTTTTATATTTTTCCACACAGAAACAAACCAGAAATTTCCATTAAGACCCCAAGAAGCTTGAAGTAAACAGGTGAATCTTCAAATGAGTTTTATTTTTTTAAAAATAAAACGCCTTATTTCTTGAGTAGAATGTCTTAACTGTTCAGTTACTGCTAAAATGATAATAGTAATAAACTAAAAAGAATAGGGGGGTAAAAAGCAAAACATTGGCACCACTTGGGTGTGAAAGAAGGGTACAAACCTGCTATAGTCTCTCTCTAAAATAAATGTAAGTTATGGATCAGAGTCTAACCACCAACTTTTCTGGAAGGAAGGGGGAGGGGAGAGAAAGATGCAGATACTGCAAAGTAAATGTCTAAAGTCCAGAAAAAAATGTCAGAAAAAGAACATATTCATTTTCTTTTATGTCATTATACAGTAATTTCAGGGCCTGAAAAAAAATGAGGACATGTAAGATTTGGTGGGGATTCTCATTGTCCACAATCAGTACCTTGGTGTTGGGATTCCTACCAGTGTGCTGTGTCTCACTTATTTTAGCATTTGGATAGCAGATATTTAAATTTACAGTTGCCTCCCCCCACCAACCCATTCTGGTTCCTAAAAGAGAGAGTACTCCTGTTCCCCCTAGATAACCCCAAAATATCTTGTTTGCTGTGAGGGGGTGGGGAGGAGACAGTGTTTTTGCTATTCTTGCTAATAGCATCTATGGTGGTTCTTTCTTAATATAGTATCCACACCCATCCTCTATATGGGTCCTTCTGAGTGAAAAGCTTCAGTTCTTGTTTCTGCTGCTTATATTTTATTTCCCCAAGCAGTTACAGATGAAACTGATGTTATTTTTGTCAATTTTTTGTGTGCTTTCCACAGGGTTCTGAATAGTAGCAGTGAAAGCTGAAAAGACTAATAGTTTTGCACTTTATTATAATTTGGGAAAGCTATGACACTTATCAGGCACCAGTTAATCCCAGTGATACGTTAGCTTGAGAGTGATATGAAAGATGAGGATGTGAGGCAAAAGCCATCAGCAAGATATAAGGGCAACCATCCCAGTGGCACCTCAACTGACTTGATTTTGTCAGTTCACTGTTGCTGTCAGGGTTCAGAATAGCATCTGTTAAACTGACCAGTGTCTTGTCAATTTCATGCTGCTGCTGCAGTTTGGAAAAGCAAGGAGTAGCAGTATACTGTTTAGGTGCAGGCTCAGGGACACAAAACATAGTATTTTATTAACATTTGGAAGTTTATCTTCATAGATGCTAGAAAGTTAATTTTTATAAAAACCAAAAGCTGCTGCAGAAATTGATGGCTTAGGTCTCTCTATTTGCTTCCTATTCACCTGTGGTGAATTAACTTTTCCAACCCTGTGTCCCGTCCTGCACAGTGGCCAGAAATAGTATGGATACTTCAAGTTTTATGCCCTCAGGGATGTGAATTGTGACATTTCCTCCTCCAATCCTGTGTGGCTGAGGCTGTGGTCTAGGTAGAGAAACTTAGATCTCTGCAGGTAATCTCTTGAAAGGATTTTGTTCTTTCTGTGTTCTGCATGTTAGATCAAACTAGAATTACCATAAAGCAGATTTTCACTGTATTTTCTTGAACTTTATATAACCTCTTTATCTATATTAAATCATCTTTAAGTCTAAATAGGTTGGCTGACATGTAAACCTGAAGCTCCTTTAGTATCCATATGCTCCCTTCCCCATGTTTATCTCAGCATGTTTACCTGTTAAAACTTCAACTTGCCTTGTCTACACTCAAATTTTAATGTTTGTTAACACCTTAGCCAACACATGCTAAAACTACACTTTTTTCCTAGTGAGGACAAGGACTTTGTTTTCACTAGGAAAAAGTGATTAATATGTTTTAGTATAAGTTAAAATATCCCTTTTTTCCAAGTGTAGGCATGGCCTTTGTTTATTTAAATTGTAAATTTTCAGGACAGACATTCTCTTTTCTGTCTTTGAATGGCACCCAGCACAATGGAGCCCCAATCCCAATTTGAGGTCATTTGGCACTACTATAAAATAAATATTTATTACTGATAATAATTAGATACAATTGTCTTGTCAACAAGATGGTGCTAATGACATTCTGATGCTTAAATCACTGCCCTGTTACAGTGACTAAGGTGAATTAAGTAACAGGCTCCTGAGTATTGGATGTGTGTGGTGGATTAAATGTTTTTTTTTTAGAGATTATAGCTTCAGTTTTGTTTCCACCAAACTGAGCTAGTTGCAGGAATATAGGATGACAAAGGTGGCTGTCATCTTTACATGTCCTGGTATTCTTGGCCGGGCTCCTAGTAGATGTTATACTTTGGTTGCAATTGCTTCCATGGGCTGTCCACCTGCTGAGAATAGCCAGAGTGCAAAGCTGCTCCTTCTCTCTGGCATGTCCCCTACGCTAGGAGCAGGGGAGAGGGCTGGAGTAAAGCTGTTCTAGAAGCTTTTTACTGGCTTGTGGGCCCTCTTTATGCTGGGGCCTTTCTCTGGGTGGTGCTTCTATGTGGTTTGTAACCCCTTGATGCTGCTGGAGCACTATGGAAAGGCAGTTGAAAACCAAAATGTGGGCCCCAAGTGTTTGTATTGCATGCCAAAGCAGTTAGATCACCATAGAAAATAAAGTGGCACAAGCATAACACACCAGTCCCAGAATACTGACTCCAAGTGGACTAGTTTAGGTTTTGTTCATCAGGCTTTAAGGTAGCATATTACTTTTACACCATATTACTATTTTGGGGGGGCTCTTCTTCTCTAGGCCTGTCTAAAGTTTAGCCTTTCTGGTCCTAGGATTCAGAACTCCTTCCTTTTACTGCTCTAATCTGCAGTTAGTTGTCATTTCCAGGTAGCTTGAAGTCAGGGGTAATTAAAAACTTGCATCTGGCCTGGGCCAACTGACTTGGGCTCATGGGGCTTGGGCTGTGGGGCTGTTTAATTGCAGTGTAGATAAACAGGCTCAGACTGCAGCCCAGGGTCTGGGACACTCCCACCTTGCAGGGTTCCATGGCCAGCCTCTCTCCTTTCACCTCTCTCCAAGTTGTTTTATGGCTGCTATAGTGTCTTTCCAGATAATGCAGCTGAGGATTCACTCCACAGAGACTAAATTTTAATCTCTCTTGTACAGGTTTCTATCTTGATTTGAGGTTAGTCTGTTAAACTGTAGGCAAAGGCTGGAGTGCTGCAGTAGTGTGTGTATCCAAGGAGTGTCTGTCTGTCTAGTATCAGAGGGGTAGCCGTGTTAGTCTGGATCTGTAAAAAGCAACAGA